ATATATATATATATATATATATTATACATAAATGTATGTAATTATAAATATATACATGCATATAAGAACATACTATAAGACATATGAACAAAATAGTGATTTATACATAAAAACAACATGATAAATATTTTTATATAAAAGGTTACATTTTTTAGGGAACTTTAAAACTTTGAATAAAAACTTTTCAAAACGTTTTATTTCTATATAATATAGAAGAAAAACATTTTAAAAAGTGGATTTTTATTCACTGTTTCAAAATTACATAAAACATATAACTTGTTATATAATAAAAAAAACTTAAAAGAATACTGGCTAGGTAATTCTTCTTTCTTTTTTCATATGTATATTGTAACTTACATATTTTTATAAATTATCCTTGCATATTTTTATTAATTTTTGTTTTAGCATAGTAAACCATCATCATAACCATCGACTCATTTATGTTACTTCTTAAAGTCCTGCACCCAATAAATGTTGGGTGTGCATATTAATACACCCAATAAGTGTAGGGTGTGCATGTTTTAACTATTGGAAAACCCAAAAATAAAGAATTTATTGGATATTATAGATAAACAATACTTTTCAAATGCAGAGGTTAAATTTAGTCTTATCTAAATAAAATTTTTAATAAGATATGCACACAAAAAACACAACAATTTATTCTTTTGCTATTGTAATTAGTAAAGATAGAAAAAAAGTTATGCAATGAAACTTTAAAAACATTGGTGGAATTAAGTATTTATCATAATAAGTTTTTTTAATTTAATGAGTAAAATTAATACACAATTGATTTCACTTTAGCAGAACATCCTGGTGGCAACATAAGTTAAAGAAAGTGTTGTTATAATCGGTATACTTCGATTAAAAATGTTAAGAAAAGGAAAGATAAACCTAAAAGGTTAACTTTAAAGCTTGCCTCTTTTTTATCCTAAAGAAAGAATAGCAAACTGGTTATATTTTCTGGATCAGATAATTTTTAATTATTAAGTAAAAAAAATAGTTTTATCAATTTAATTAAAAAATTATATATACTCATTATTTAAATATTCTTTAAGAGGTCTTTTAAGACCTTTAAATGATTTCCTAAAATTATCGCAAAAAGGTTTTTCAAAAGTATATTATGTTGGGTCTTAAATGAATTAAATCTCATATAATTGTATTCAATGTGAGTTATAGTAAAAAAAAAAATGGTAAAAATGCACTTTATTTTTAGCTAGAAAACATTTATTCATTAAAATCTAATTGGTAATAATTTATATAATATAATTATCATTTTTTCATATAATCTCTCTTCATTTGAGACCCAACATGATATACTTTTGAAAAACTCTTCTTTTTTTTTGATTATATTAAGAATTTATTAAACATTTTATACAATTTTTTATAATTTTGATCACTCATAATATTAGGGTGATTGAAATTATATATATATTAAATAATATATATGATAATGGAATATTATATATGTTATATATATATATATATATATATATATATATATTTATATATATTTATATGATTTAATATTATATATATTAAATATATATATGGTGATCAAATATTATATTTATTATATATATATATATATATATATATATATATATATATATATATATATATATATATATATATATATATATATTTATATATATTTATATGATTGAATATTATATATATTAAATATATATATGGTGATCAAATATTATATTTATTATATATATATATATATATATATATATATATATATATATATATATATATATATATATACATATTTGATTGAATATTATATATATAATATATATATATATATATATAATATATATACATATATATATATACATATATATATATATATATATATATATATATATATATATAAATATATATATATATATATATATATATATATATATATATATATATATATATATATATATATATATATATAGATATATATGTATATATATGTATATATATATATGTATATATATATATATATATATATATATATATATATATATATATATATATATATATATGTATATATGTATATATGATGAAAAAGTCTTTTCCTCAGAAAAATAAGTTGAGCGTTGTTCTACCAAGGACATAGTGGAAAAAAAAATTATAAAAAAAATTATTTTCAAAAGACATCAATAATGACACCATACTGAAAAAGTCAACTGCTGGAAAATTTTAATAATTAGCATTATGGTATGCAGATTGAATTGAATAATTGAATTATGGTATGCAGATTGAATATATATATATATATATATATATATATATATATATATATATATATATATATATATATATATATATATATATATATATACATACATACATACATTAAACTTACACCATTTTACTGATGTTTTAATGAAAGAAGTTACAGATAAATTAAAAAATTTGCTAAAAGCTTGCTGCTGGGGCTTCAGTACATACATCGACTGACAAATAGCCTGACTTGCAGTGGAGTGCTGCTATGTCGACTGAGGGTTTGGGATGGGGAAGCAATCGTTTTATTCATCATTCTTCGTTTTTTTCTTCTTTTTCGAAAAAAACGGTATAGCTTAAGGTAAGCAGAAAAAGTGAGCAAATGCTTATCAAAACACGCTTTAGTAAGCGTATATATATATATATATATATATATATATATATATATATATATATATATATATATATATATATATATATATATATATATATGTATAAGTGTATATATATATATATATATATATATATATATATATATATATATATATATATATATATATATATATTTTCTTACATTACAAGCAAAATGGGTCCAGTCGATAATAAATTGGCAAAGCAAGAAGAAGTATCAAGAAAAAGACAAAAAGAAATGAACCGAAAAAGGGACCGAGAGGAGATGGCAAGAAAATCTTGAGAAGAAACAGTTTTTCTTTCATCATCATCTGAAGGTGAAGATAACCCTAAAGAAAATAGCATAACTCAAGAAGATGCCTTGCCTGGTAAC